GGAATTGGGACTAGTCGGTTGTAATTCGTTCCATTTCGGGTCCGGAACCCTTCCCCCCCTCCCCCCTTAAGGGGGGGGGGGTCCCAGCCCCCCCCCCCCCTTTCCCCCCCCTCCCTTGAAGGGAGGGGGGGGTCCAGACCCCCCCCCTCCCCTCTTTGGCGTTGGAAGGAGGGGGGGTGGGTTCGGACCCCCCCCGTGTAGGGAGTACGGAGTTGGGAGTAGGGAGTGGTGTGTAGTGAGTAGTGAGTTTGTGCGTAGTGCGTAGTGAGTATTGGGTAGTGAGTAGTGGCTAGTGAGTGGCGAGTAGGGAGTAGGGAGTAGTGAGTAGTGAATAGTGAATAGTTAGTAGTGTGTACTGATAAGTGAGTAGTGAGTGGCGAGTAGTGAGTAGTGAGTAGCGAGTAGCGAGTAGTGAGTACTGAGTAGGGAGTAGGGACTAGGGAATAATGAGTAGTGGGTCGTGAGTTAGTGCGTAGTGAGTAGTGGGTGGCGAGTAGTGATTAGTATGTAGTGAGCAGTGGGTAGTGCGTAGTGCGTAGTGCGTAGTGAGTAGTGAGTAGGGAGTAGTGAGTAGTGAGTAGTGAGTAGTGAGTAGTGAGTAGCGAGTAGTGAGTAGTGAGTAGTGAGTAGTGAGTAGTACGTAGTGAGTAGTAAGTAGTGAGTAGTGATGAACAGAGAGTAGTGGGTAGTGGCAGTGGGTAGTGGGTAGTGAGTAGCGAGCAGGGAGTAGCGAGTAGTGAGTAGAAAGGCGCGAATAGGGCGTAGTGAGTAGTGAGTAGAGAGTAGTCAGTAGTGAGTAGTGGGTAGTGATTTGTGAGTAACGAGTAGGGAGTAGCGAGTAGTAAGTAGGGCGTAGGGAGTAGGGAGTAGGGAGTAGTGAGCAGTGAGTAGTAAGAAGCGGGTAGCGTATAGTGTTTAGTGAGTAGCGATTGGTGAGTCGTGGGTAGTGCGTAGTGAGTAGTGCATTTTGACTAGTGACTAGTGAGTTGTGACTAGTGACTAGAGACGTTGCAGTGACTAGTGAGTGGGGAGTAGTAAGTAGTGAGTAGTGAATAGTGAGTAGCGGGGAGTGAGTAGGAAGTATTGAGTAGCGTGTATGGGAGTAGCGAGTAGTGAGTACTGAGTACTGTGCAGTCCGTATTGTGTAGGGAATAGTGAGTAGCGAGTAGCGAGTAGGGGGTAGTGAGCTGTGATTTGTCGGCAATGAGTGGTGAGTAGTGAGTAGAGAATAGTGGATAGTGGGTATAGTGGGTAATGAGTAGTGATTAGTGAATAGTGAGTAGGGAGTAGTGGGTAGTGCTTAGCGAGTAGTGAGTATTGAGTAGTGGATAATGAGGAGTGAGTAGTGACTAGTGAGTAGGGAGGAGGGAGTAGTGAGTAGGGAGTAGCGAGTAGCGAGTAGTGGGTGGTGGGTAGTGAGTAGTGGATAGTGAGTAGCGAGTCGTGAGTAGTGAGTAGGTGGTAGTGAGAAGTGAGTAGCGAATAGCGAGTAGTCAGTAGTGGGTACTGAGTAATGAGTAGTGAGTACTTTTTGGGGCTGGGGTTAGTGGTTGGGGTCAGGATTAGGGGCTTGGGTTAGGGTGAGGTATAGGGGTAGGGGTGGCGGGGGTCGGGTTCCGGAGTCAGGGGGCGGCGTGGCGAAAGGGGGGGAGGGGGGGGGGTTCGGACCCCCTCCCCCTTTTGAAAGGGGGGGAGGTTCCCCGACGACGGGTCGGGGAAAGGGGGGGAGGTGTGGAGGGGGGTCCCCGACGACGGATCGGGGAGGAAGGGGGGGAGGGGGGGGGGGGGGTCCCCGACGACGGATCGGGGAAGGGGGGGGTTCCTAACCTCCTAACCCCCCCCCCTTGGGGAGATCCAGCGGCGCACCCTCACGATGCTCATGATGATGAGTTCGTTGATGATGATGATGGTGATGATGATGATGTGGAGAGGAGGATGATGCTGATGATGAGGATGCTGGTATTGATGATGATTATGGTCATTGTGATGCTGATGATGATGATGATGATGATGATGATGTGGCTGTTGATACTAATGCTGATGCCGATGCTGATGCTGATGACGATGATGATGATGATGATGATGATGATGATGATGGTGATGGTGATGGTGATGGTGATGGTGATGATGCTGATGATGATGATGGTGGTGGTGGTGGTGATGATGATGATGATGATGATGATGATGATGTTTATCATGGTAATGGCCATGGGGCCATCTTGGGCGTCTTGGGTCGATCGTTCGGTGATTCGGGGCTTCCTTGGGCCGTCTTGAGGGCCTCTTGGGGCCCTGTTGGCCCGTCTTGGGCTTCTGTTGGGCTCGAAGAATATTGCGGGAACATTCTGGGGGTCCCAGAGGGCACGCGGGGAGTCTCAAGAGATTTAAGTGCTTGGAGTCTGGGCTCATGAAGGTTCTGCTTTGAGTGCTTGGAGATTTGAGTGCTTGGAGTGATTTGAGTGATTGGAGTGCTTTGAAGACTGAGGTTCAGGGAGGGGATTGAGCAAGGGACCTGGGGAAGCCTTTTGGGGGGTCGTTTTGGTGCCTTTTGGAGCATCTTTCGGGCCTCTCGGGGTCCTTCTGGGGCCTGCTGGGGGCTTCTTGGGGGCATGTGGGCCCCCCCCACCCCCCGAGCACTAAATTCGTCGGGGATGGCGTCCCCCAGAGCGTAGCTTGAGCGAGCTCAAGTCCACGCTTTCAGAAACTCACACGCCGGATCGGCGGATTTCTACCAGGACCCTCAGCAGGACCTTGTTTTCTCATGCCAATGCAGTCGGGTACCCTATTGTTCTTCGTGTTTGATGGATGCTCGTGTGCATCGTGGGGAGGGTACCCTTGGGTGTTTTCTGTTTTGGCCGACGGAGGGTCTCATGTTCTTGAAGGATGCTATCCTGGCCCAGGTCCGACTGCACAGCAGGTTCGCGACGCGTCGACGCGGCGGCGACGCTGCCGTGGGCGTCCATGGTTGAAGGCCATCGACGGCCTGAGCCAGGCCTCGGATGGAAGAGATCGCTCGAGGTTGGCCGATCTACGCTGCGTCAGAAAAACCACCGCCCATGCCGTTGCGACAAGCACCAGGCGTGGGGCACGCTAAAACCGGCGGCGCCTTCCAGGAACGGGAAGCCGACCGCCATCCGTCGGCGGAGGAGGCCGGCGCCGGCGGAAGCCAACGGGTCGCTCTCGGTCGATCCCAGCTGTCGCGGGGAGCGGGAGTCCGTGCCGACCCGCCGCGGGGCCTTTCTTGGGAGCTTGGAGTCGCTGGGCCCGCCGCGGACCCGTGCGACCAGCGCAGGGTCTCGCTGCGGCGGAGCAGCGGTGGCGGCGAGGTTCGCGCACGGAGGCCAATGACCTCGGCTCGACAAGGGTCGTCCACTGCAACGCAATGCAAAGAGAGGCAGTGCAGCGCAAGACATGCCACGACACAGCCTGCAAGTCATTTCAGTGCAGCAGCTCCAGGCAAAGCGAAGCGATGCAAATCATGCAGTGAAGGACGATGCAGCAGTTGTAGTGCAAGCCGAAGCGATGCAGATCAGTGCAGAGCTATACAACGCAACAAAGGGCGAAGAAAAGCAATGCACACCAGATCACAGCAAATCGAAGCAATGCAAGGGGAGACGCTGCGCAAACCAATCGACGCAAACAATCGGTCCTGCCAAGTAATGCGCACCAGTGTGAAACACGCATCACTGCGAACCAAAGTGGAGCAACGCAAAGCAATGCAAATCGGCACTGAGCGAAGGATGGCAAAGCAAGGCAAGGATCGCCGATGGCCCCCCCTGACAGCCCAGCCCTCGGAGGAGTCCCCCAAGGAATCCACAGGGACGGCCAGCACCTTCCGAGGGACCTCCAGGGACCTGGCGGGGCCCGCGATCGCCACCAGCCCTCCTGCACAGAATGCGCAAGAACGGCTAGAACCTCTTGGGCAAGCCATAGTGGGAGAGAAATGCAGAAGAACATCCCAAAGTCTCGCTCCTCGACCTTCGATCCTTCCTAGATCCTCGATCCTTCACGACGCCGACGACGACGACGACGACGGCGTGGGTCGCCCCCGTGCCCAAGACCATAATCTGCCCAGAGCTAATACCAGCTCAGAACCAGCTGATGGCCGTGAGCTGTGTCCAGCCGTGGCCGCGAGTGACCTCCAGGAGGCCGAGGGAGGCCAATTGCCTCAAATCCTGATCTCTTACCTCCCATGCGGGATCGAGGGTCTTTTTGACCCGTCGATCTCAGTTCCTCGACGACGGCGGCGACAACAACGACGAAGACGGTTGCGGCGACGATGGTGACCACGATGAAGACGACCGATCACGACGTCGGCGTCGTTAATGACGACCGTCGCCAGTCAGTGGTCCCCAGAGGTCAACCGAGTTTCTCAGAGGGCACCAGACAGAGGCCTCTAGAGGCCCATGAATGAGTCGAATGCGTCCAGACATGTTCGATCCTCGATCGACCAGTCCACGACGACAATGCTGTCGGACCAATCTTCGCTCAATGTCAGTTCCCGGACCCCTTGTCGAGCCGCGTCTAGCCGTGACGGCGAGAACCTGCAGAAACGCCAACAATCCGCCGAAGCGAAGATGTCGACGCCAACAATGGCGATGGTGACGGCGACCAGCTACCTGGAGGTCCCCGAGGTTCCTTGGAAGTCATCAGCGCGCCGAAAACGCCAAAAGCCCTGGGTGCCTGGTGCCTTTCGGTGGAGCCGGTTTGAAGCTGCTCGCGATGGAGGGAAAACGTCCAAAAGCCTTCGATCCTCCAGCAGTTGGAGGATCGAGGGCTTTCCAGCGACTGGAGCATCGTTCGATCGACGGGCCTCGATCAACGAGGACAAATCCACCCCGACCCCCATAATCGGCGTTTACTAAACGGCCCGGTGCGTTTACTAAACAGCGCTTTCTTGTTCGATTCCTTCGTCGGGTGCGCTTACTAAACGGTTGCGTTGTCGGGGTGTTTACTATCGGGGTGGATCTCGAGCCCTCTCTTCGAGGGAGGCCTCCCCTTCCCAGGGCGGGCATGCCCAGCACCCTGCTGCTGGCGCTGCTGGGCGCCCTGCCCCTGCGGGCCGAGGGCGGCAAGAAGCGGACCCGCCGCCCGCCCGCCCACCCCTGGCGGTCGGCGTCGACCGCCGGCCAGGTCGGGGGTGCAACGCTCGTCACCGAGCGCGTTCCCCTACTTTTAGGTCGGGCCTGTCTCCCTACAGGGGGATGTTGGACGAAAAACAAAACATACTCAAGCAATACTCAAAAAGATGCCCAAAGATGCTCAACAAATAGTTTCCAGACTTTTGTACCATTTTGGAATATTCCCCCTGTAGAGGGACAGGCCCGACTTTACACTACTTGCAAACTGCCTGCTCGCAAATCATGTATTCCTCTGTGTAATGTGCCGTACATCCCACGCGGCAGATCCAGGCCACGTGCGAGCAGTTACTCTGCGAGTAGTGGGATGCGCTTGTCCAGTTCTGGGCTGGTAGGCTCAGGGGGGGGGGGGGCGTGTCGACCCCCGATCGCGCCCGCTCATCGCCCGCTCATCGACCAGTCGGGGCCTGGCCGCCCATCCCGCCGATTGGGGCCCGAGGTTTCGCCCCCGAGTTGGTCCCCCCGATCGCTCCCCCCAATCTGCGAGGGGACGCGAAGAGAACCGCGCTTCGCGCATCGCTGCTCTGGTAGAAGAGGCGCCCCTCTCCTTGGCATCGCTCGGGCGTGTGCAATTTTCCTCGGCGAGGGCCGTCGAGGAGCAGATTGGATCATCCTGCGGAATGAAAACACGCACGAAACTGAAAAATGCACGGGGAGTGGAGGTCCGAGCGATGGCAGGTCTCTGGGGCAGCGGCGCGATGGCACTATGATAGCCGCGCGTCGCGCATCGTGGGGAGCGTTGCGCGAAATTGGATGACTTTGTCGTCTCCGTCTTCCGTCGTCGTCGTTGTCGTCGTCGTCTTCCTGGGCTCTTTTTGGGCCTCTGGTGACCTCGAGACTTCTATATTCCTCCAGAAGTAGTCTCCGTTGTCGCGGGCGAGAGGGGCGAGAAAGAGAGGATGGAAAGATGAGGGAGGAGTGCGCGCGCCAAGTCAGACATCCTACTCCTCCCTCCTATCTCTTCCCATTGCGTTGGCGTTTCTCCATCCGCCGACGAGTGTCGTAGCGGACCTCGATGCCCCAAATGGCCCCATCGTGTCGTGCACAATCAGACAGGGGAGCTATGTACATTGGGGGTGGGTAGGATTAGGGGAAGCGGATGATATGATGAAGGAGGAGGCGCAGCAGCAGGAGCAGGAGTCAAGCCAGGTCGAACGAGTCAGAGGCTTTGCCCATTCCTGCCCTCCTTCCATGCTGGAACAATCAGTTGTGGCACAACGTGATCTTGGAGTTGGATCGCCTTCCCACCTGCCGAACGGGAGGCGCTCGCGCGTGGTCCCGTTCCCCACGACCTGGCGAGGGAAAGCAGAGCGCAGGCCGCGCACGGGCGGCAGCGTAACCTCAGCACATCCATTTCGCGGCGCTGCGGCGAGAGCACCATTCGGCCCTCTCTCGGGGGGTCGATCTTCCCGTGGAGCCCGGCAGAGGCGAAGCACGCGCCGCGCGGAAATAGTGGTTCCAGCCTCCGCGTTCAAGCTGCGTGGCGCTCGGGCGAGGACGGTCTGTCGTCCAGTCTCACCGCGGGCCCCGCTGGCGCTCTCGTGCGATGCGGCGAGCGAGACACGCGCCGCGCCCACGCGGGAAATCTACACGGAGCTCCGGCGAGGGCGGTGAGGTTCGGGAGCCTTGAGGCGGGGGTCAATGCAAACGGGGGTCAGCCAGAGCGCCCGATCTTGCAGGATCCTCCAGGGCCACTTCGCATTGACCCGGGTTTGGGTGCAGGATCTTGCAGGATCTTGCCGGATTCTGCAAGGCCTGACTGACCCAGGTTTGGATTGACCCGGGCCAGAAGATCCCCGAAAGGTCGGCCGCTCGCGCGCGGCGGCAGCAGCCCGCAACGATTTCGCGAGCGGAAGGCATTCGCGCCGTGTTGACGCGGGAGCGCCACTTTCAGGGGAAACCACGGCGGCGCCGAGGCGAGAGCAACACTTGCGTGTGAGCGGCGCCGAAAAGCGGGGTCGTCTGCGCCGTCATTTGGCGCGTATCTTGCCCGCGTAAGGTCGCGGTAAGCGCCCTCGTCTCCAGTGTGGCGTGCCGCACTAGCGGCCACCGTGAGACGCCGCGTAAGGTCGCTACTTCATCTCGCGCAGGACCCGCTTTTGAGCGTTGCTCGTGTGCCCGCGCGCCGACGGATTTGTGAAGGGCACTGGGCCCAAGCGGGAGCTCGAGAGATGAGCGTGTCGCTGAAGCGAGAGTTGCGTTACGCATTTCCCGCGATGTACGTCCCGTCCCATTCCTGCCGCGCATTTTTCAACCCCGACGACACAACGTCAAGGTTGCAACACGTGCATGGTGTATTGCCTTTGATGGATCGGAAGGAACGTCCCAGATCGTTTGCTATCTGCCAGCTGGGTGCCCCAGTCGGAGTGCATACCAACACGGAGTAAGGGTAGGAGGGGCGGGAGGAGCACGGGGACCAGGTGAAGCCAGGGGAGGGGCAAGAAGGGGGGCGACAACGACGAGGCAGGAGTCGAATCCAGAAGCGCGGCCCGCGCTGGAGCGAGGGCGTCATTCTGAACGGCGGGAGCGACGCGCCAGTCCTGAAATGAAGCCTACGCTGCATCGGGGACACCGCTTTGAAGCACACGAAGAACTTTCAGTTAGGACAACCACGTGCATCAATAATCGGTAGCACCTGCTCACACCCTGTGTGTGCAAAGCCATGCGCGGGCGAGGCTGGGTCACTACGGCACAGATTGAGGGGAGAATGGACAGTAGTACTTTTGTCGAGTAGTTGAGGGGAACGAACAAGAGGAGTATTATTGTAGAGCACTCTGGGAGAGTGGATATGGTAGATTGAGGTGGAGAACGAAGAGGAGGATGAATGGAGGAGGGGGAGTAATTCAGGAGGCCCCTAGTAAGCCTGACACGGACCTGCCGTCTATCCGTTTCAGTTCTGAGAAGCGTCAAGGTGCACGGTTACAAAGCTAATGTAAGAGCCGACGTGACACGGATGGTGTCACGTTTGTTCAGTTAAAGGCCTCGGGACAGCGCCCCATTGCCATCCGTGTCAGGTGTCGTTCGCATTTGATGATTAGCATTACGTTTCGCGGCAGCCACCGAGCAGGAAACAGTCGAAGTCGAAACGCACATCGGACGGTGTGGAGAACCTTTCTTGCGGCAGGTCCCGGTTCCTAGAACATGGGTAGTCCACGCAAATGATCGACGATGAAGATGTTTCGTACCTTGTATGGCTCAGCGCAGGTTGTGTAGATCGGCTGATTTGGATGCGAAATTTGATGTGAGCGCGCAGTTATTGTCCTCCGCCCCTCTCCGTCGTATTTTGTCTCGTCCTTCCTCTGGGTGCCTTCATCTTCGTTTCGCCCCCCCCCCCCCCCTCCCCCTCCGCCCCCTGCCCAGCTGTGTCGTCTCTTGCCCGCCACTCCGCCCTGGGCTCTTCCGCTCAGGGCCGGGCCTCTCCGCTCACCCCGAAGGAAGGGCGGGGCGGACTATTACGACATCCTCGGAGTGAAAGAGAAGGATGACGCCGCGACCATCAAGAAGGTCTCCGCTCCTGTTTCCGGCTCGAAGCACTCCGCGAGCGCGTGTGAGTCTTGTGCGGACTTGAGCACGCTCATGGTGTGCGTTGTAGGCCTCGGGAGTGCGTTGGGCCGTGCGCACCGTGCATTGCTCGGCGCTCGCCGTCTTGTCGCGACCCCGCTGACGCAGAGGGTGGAAGCCAGAGGAGGAAGAGGTGTCCACACCTGTATCCTTCCCTCGTTTTCCCATTTTCGGGCCTCCTGGGAGGCTCTCGTCGCCACGGCTGGATTCGCCTCGACAGTTTGGTCGGAACGCAGTCCAGGAGAGGTCCAGGGAGCAGCGAAGTCGCTACCTCTGCGTTTCCCCAGGAACTCACGTGATTGCGCACCATGCGCGACACCGCGCGGAGGTACCGTACCTGGAGCGACTCCTGTGTGGCGGGGGGGCCCCCTCCCTCCGAGGCGACGATGAGGGCGAATAGCCCCTGGGAGATCAATCCATGTATGCAAGGGCGGCGATGGTCTATGCCCTCGGCGAGGCTCCCGGGCGATTACGTGTATTGCTCCCCCCAGGGCCATTCGCCCCCATCGTCGCCTCTGATCCCTCCCCCGCCGCGGCCGCCTCTTTCTCCCCTTTCCCTCCCCTCTCGCATTCGGGGCAGCTCGCAACGCCGCAGCCCAGGTTGCTCGAGACGCGCGAGCGGATCGCTTCTGCCGCTCCGCGACGGGAAACTTGTGTGGAGGGGGGCGTGCCAGATTCTGATGACATTATGTTGATTCCGCTGTTCTCTGGGACCAGCACATACCAACGCAAGTAATTGTTGTTGAAGTGGTCCGACCAGTGCCCCGGACGCATGGAGAGACGCAGGGCCGCCGGCAGACGGAACGCGGCTGAACGCGTACTTTGCGCAAGGAACGGGCGCCTTGTACGAGCTCACCCCATCCAAGACACTTGACATGCAACTCACTGCGAGCCAGTTTGCCGACAACGTCGCGCTCCGGCTCGGTGTCGATGTCTTGGATGCGGGGTCCACCTGTCCTTTGTGCGGGGTTGCCTTGGACGCTCAGGGAATCCACTGCCTCTCCTGGATGGGGGGCCCTGAAACCACGGGCATTCACAACGGCATTCGCGACGTCCTCTACGACTACGCGTGCCGAGGCGGACTGCGACCGCAGTCCGAGGTCCCAGGCTTGCTCCAGGAGGGCCCGGAGGCGCCGCCAGACCAGCGCAGGCCAGCCGACGTCCTCGTGGTCCCACGCTTGGCTTTGGCGACGCACCTTCCCGACGGCAGCCGTGCGGTCCGGGCGGGAAGGGTGTGCTTTGACTTCGCGGTCATCAACGCGCTGCGGCCGGGCCATGGGGCGGACACCGCACTGTCCGCCAGGCTCCCGTCCGCGACCTACGACGAGGAGAAGCGGAGGCGGGGCCGGACCGAGGAGAGGTGCCGCGCACAGGGCCTGGCCTTCCGGCCCGTCGTCCTCGAGCAGCAGGGCGGCATGAGCAAGGGCGCGGACGCGGCCTTCCGGGCCGTTGCAGCAGCGGTAGCCGGGAAGGAGGGGCGGGAGCAGTCAACCGTGCGCCGGGAGATGCTCCAGCGCATGGCGATCCTACTCGCCCGGGGCTGCGCTGCGCGGCTGCGCGGATCGAGCGTCGGCGGGCTAGAGCCCGCGCAGGGCGAGCTGCGTGGGCGGCGGCTGCGGCGGCTGTCGCGCGCGAGCTGGCGCGCGAGGGCGGTGAGTGAGACGCCGCGCAGCCGCGCCCTAGCGGGCTGGCGGCCGCGTGACCTGTGTCGCCGTCGTCGTTCCCCTCGTTCCCCTCCTCCTCCTCCTCCTCCTCCTCCTCCTCCTCCTCCTCCTCCTCCTCCTCCTCCTCCTCCTCCTCCTCCTCCTCCTCCTACTCCTCCTAATCCGGCCGCTGCTATGTGGAGTCTTCTTCCCGCCGGAATGGAAGGCGGAAGTTTGTCCTGATGCGCTGACGCACGGGTGCTCTTCTTGGCCCGCTTTCTTTCTTGCCTTGGCTTTGGCTCTCGGTTCCTCTCCCTCTCCTCTTCCTTCCTCTCCGTGCTGTGCTCTCTCGCCCTTGTGTTGCTTCCTTGCCCTTGTGTGTGCTGTGCTCTCCCTTTCTCTCTCCCTGCTTGGCTTCCCCTCTCCGTCCCCCCGTCCCTCCGTCCGTCGGCCCGGTCTGCCCTTTCCGGTCGTCCCCCTTCCCTCTCCCCCTCTCGCTCCTCGGCTCCTCGCTCTCCGGCCCGTTCCTGTTCCTTTCTTGGCCCGCTTTTCTTTGTCGGCCCGCCCCGTGGTCCGAATAAGAGATGCGGCGGCCCGCGCTGCCACGCTGACGGACCCCCGCCTCCCTCTGGTTTTTGGCCGGGGCGGCGGGGCAGGCAGCACAGGTGATGAACTCCGTGAGGGATGACGGAGCTCTCACAGCTGGTCCTCCAGGGCGCCGGAGCGACACGGCTTTCGCGCATGGTTGTTCAAACGCAGTATTGTGTGCTTGTCTTTGTGCGAAGTGCCCCTCGGCTGCCCGGCTCCTCTCGCCCGCCGCCCGTCGCTGCGCCGGTGCGGCGCAAAGGCCTACCGCGCCAAGTCGTTGCTGTACCACCCCGACAAGTGCGAGGACCTGGGCGCTCCACGTCCCTGAGACTGGTTTCGGATCAGCATGCCTTTCGTGATGCCCTTCCCCCTCCTGCTTCCTCTCTTCCCTTCCCTTTCCCTTCCATTACGCATGGGTTGCCCCACCACTACATCAAACCAAACACAAGCCGTTCCATTGTCCCCACAGGGTAAGGCATATAGCTGATTTGTGCGAGGGACCGCCATCTAAGCAATCGTCGCCAGGGGCACCGACACCCGACTCCAGGAGGCAAAGGGCGTCTCTTTCTCACTTTCCTTGTTTCCGCCAGGAGGACAAGGATGCGTGCCAGGCCAAGTTTATCGAGGTGTCGACGGCTTACGAGGTCCCCAAGATCCCAGCCTAGAGGGAGGGTGACCCCATTTCCATCATGAGGAGGAGGAGGAGGAGGAGGAGGAGGAGGAGGAGGAGGAGGAGGAGGAATAGGATGAGGGTGCAGGCGAAGGAAGGTATAACAAAATATGCCATTGTAGTTTGACGAGCAGCTGCATGATGCGTCTAGGCGAGGGAAGGTAGGACGTACTGCCAAAACGTACAGTGGGTATGCAGTGTTTCAGCGTTGCTGCCCTTGAATATCTGTCTTTCTCCTCTATCCCCTTTCGGCCGTGAGCCGACGAGGTTGTTTCAGCACGGCCCGGTTCGATATGGTATTGAAGCAAACGGGTCTTGAGACATATGAGTCTGGAGTTACTCGCCATCTTGGGCTTTTCTGGATCCACGGTCCCCGAGATTTCCAAAATGGCTCAAGACGAAGTATTGGTCGTGGGGGAAGCTCCCAGGGTCAAGGACACGCTTCCCTGAGGACCTGCTTGTGGCACGCAGCTTTCGCACGGTTCGATGTGGCCCAATGCTCGCATGGCGTCATTGTGCATGCTGCAGCGGCCGATCCGATGCGATTTCGATTCCGACGCGCGTTCGGGTTCGATCCGATGTTCTGGTGCGATGTTGGCGTATCTCGATGTGTTGCAACGTGGACAGCCTCATCACCCTCCGCGGAAGCTGGATTTCGTTCTCGCCTGCCCCGTTCGTGTTGCGTGCGTCCCCGCAGCTGGCACCAGGGTGACGAGCAGCCCTAGCTTGGGAAGTGTACCCCCTGGCCGACGGGCTCGTGTTCTCGACCCACGTTCTTGTACTCCGCCCCTCCGCCCCTCTCTTCCCTACTTACGGTAATAGCGTCATAGAGCCGAAACAGGAAGTCCTTCGGTCCCGAAGGGCCTCGGCACTGCATGTTTTCTTGGGCCACAGCGGGAGATCTCAGCCGAACTGTGTGAAGCACGCGTTGGATTCCTCATCTGCACGTGTGCCTCGTGCGCGAAATCGCCGACTTGGGATTCGTTACCCAACTCCCAAAAAGTTCCGCTCTTGGCTTCGCTTGTGTATCAGGCGAATTTTGCCGCTTCAATGTCTCGCGCGCCCAGGGTCAGGATGACGTGAGATCACAAGGACAATTCCTCAAACCGATTTCCCTGTTCTGGCTTTCCGATTGTTACGGGGGGGTGGGCTGGGGATGGGTGAATGAGGGGGGGAGGATTCAATTTTATCTGCAGCTCCAAGAGCCGTCGACACCACCTCGTATCAGTTTTCCATGGCGAGTCGCTTTCTTCTGGTCCTGGGACCCAGGAGCCGCTTACGGCTAAGGACGCCGAAACAATAGAAGTAACGCTGGCACTACGCAAGAATTGCAATGTCAGATGTAGTAGATCTTGGCGGGGGGCGGTGCCCAAACAGGGGGCCCGGGGGCAACATTTAGGGAAAGACAACCTGTCGCGATATTTTTTGCGACGCTTGGAGGTCCAGGGGTCCTCCAAGTGGAAGTCAACCCCTGGACCTGCCCTGGGCTGCGTTCGGGCCAGAACTTCCAGGGGAATCCAGCCGTGGTGACGGGGGCGCCACGTGAGATGTCAAACATCCCGGACCTCGGTGCTCGATCCTTTCTTCTCGAGGGTGGCCACGATTGTGCGTACAGTCGGAGTTGCTTAGTAGTTCGGCCTTGTAACATCAATGGTACCCATGTGTCCTGTCTAGTGTGTTTCGCATCTGCTCCGTGTCAGGAGCGCAGGCGGCCTCCAGAAGGTACGCCGTCGGCGAACAGAACTCAACTCAGCAGTAATGGCGTGGAGCGCAACGGCGCAGCACGCTCTGCGCCACAGCTGTGGGCGTCGGCACGCAGATGTTGCCAACGGCAACTGCGCAGGAGCCCGACGTATTCGCCGATGGCGTACTTGCGCCCTCTCGGGTGGCGGTCCCGACTGCACCAACTGTACCAAATACAGCGGCGGTCCTTCGGTACCATCTGTACCAACTGTATCAAATAATAACATATTAATGATAACAGTACTGTACCAATTGTACAGTCCCGCAGTTGCACCAAGACCTCTGCAATCGGTCCCGACTGTACCAAAACTTCGGCTCCAGCGGTCGCGCTCCCTTTGGGACATCAACCGCCCTTCGAGGCGCCTCGCCGGGCCACCGACGTCCCGAGCGCGTCCCTCGGGGGGCGAGACCGTCCCCAGCCACTCCACGTGCGTCTCTCCTCCCCCTCCCCTCGGCATGAGGGATCGGGGTCCTGAGGGCAAGGGGTCCTGAGGTTTGCATACTCTTGAGGCTCCCAGGGCCCTCCACAGGCCCCAGGACTGTCAGACAACGGATCAGCTTGGAGAGCAGGTCTTCAGGAATCGACCCGGGGTCCCGCACCCATCTCATTCAGGACTCACTTCCCTCGTGCCATTCCTCTCCAGGCCTTTCCATATGCTGCGTGCTGTATCGGGTGTGCTCGCACGGGTGGTGTGGCGTCCGTCGCGAAATGCGAGTTGCATTCGACGGCTTGTTGCCTTGACGTTTCGTCTGCCATGCCTTCTGTCTGGTTCCTTCCTCATGGTAGCGCGATGGCTGTACGAAAGCGACAGTTGGCTCGGAATCGAGATCTGTGTTTCAGCAGCTCCTGCAGATGGAAGATTTGAAACTCGGAGCGGACTGGCTGGGAATCCCTGGGCACTTCGCCCCTTCCGATTCCGCTTCTCTCAGCTCGCAAGCGCCCGCCGCTTTCGCTCGTTCGCAGGTGCTGACCGACCCGGAGAAGCGGAAGGATCGGGAGTTGTAAAAGAATTAATTCCCTCCTCTTCAGATTGGGCAGTGGTGAGTGGCCAAGAGATGCGTGCACTTGTGTGAGTGTGCGTGCGTGTGTGTGTGCGCGCGTGTGCATGAGCGTGTGTGCGTTGTGTTGTTGTTGTTGTTGTTGTTGTTGTTGTTGTTGTTGTTGTTGTTGTTGTTGTTGTTGTTGTATGTGTGTGTGCGCGCGTGTCTTCAATTGTTCTGCTGTTTCGCTCTCGATCTTGTGACTACAGCACGTACTTGTCTAGACTGCCTGAAGGTCTCGCTTCACGACCTGATTGACATTGGGGCTACTGGTCTGGTGCACGTGCTACTTCAAGGTGGCCAATTCAAGATACATGAGACCCGTTAATCAACATGCACCCGATGGTTGCGACCCTTCGCCATGACCGAGCGTCCTCAATGTTGATGTCATGTTTGCTCACAGTAGCCTCCCCCTCATCTGGCATTTCACGGCCGCGACTGGAGTGCGTTCGGCATGCGCTCGAATGCAATTCAGGTTGCGCGTCCCCGCTTGTTTTCGACCGACTGTCGAGTCGACGCCGCGGAGGGAAGCAGTGCGGGTTTATTTGTGTGAGGCGCGCACGTTGTGTTCTTGCATGCGCCGGCCTTCGTCCTGACCACCCACCTTCAAGTCGAGGCGGTAATTGGACCGAGCGCGCCCCGTCCTGGTCCACGCTGCGGTGGCACCCACCCGGCCGCCAGAGGCAAAAGAGTGCGTGTGTCTTGACCTTTCATATGTTTCGCCCTAAGCTTCAGTCGGGCATGTCCCTTTACATGAGGAAGATTCAATAATCGTAAAAAGATAATATGTTGACGATTTGTCGTTCGCTTTTGCTTTTTGGTGATACGATTTGTCAGTTTTTATTTTTTCTTCCAAAATCCGAATGCAGAAGGACGTGCCCGACCTAACCATGACTTGCTCGCTCTTGCCCGCCTGAGGTGTACGACCGAGACGGCGAGGAGGGCCTCAAGGATGGTGGCGGCGGCGGCGAGCAGGCCGCATCCCCGCTCGGGCCCGCGGCATCTTCGAGGGGGGCGAAGCATCATGTCGGGCCCAAGCCGCTCCCGACATACCCACTTAATCCGCAGAACCCGTGAAGGTGAGCAGAGCTGCGGCGAGGTCGCTTGAGTGCGCGGGTGGGCACGTGCATAGCGTGCACGTGTGCGTTTCCATGGGCAGGGCGTGTTGGAGCAGGGGGATGGTGAGGGAAGCAAGCGGGTGATGTCGAATTTCTTCCGCCTTGGTTTGTGCCGGGGAGCACGCCGGCGGCTTGTTCATCCGAGAACGTCGATCTTGGCACAAGCCTAAGCCAGAAAGTGGCTCTGGTCTCGCAGACGTTTGTCACGACGTCCAGGAAGATGGTGTAAGTGAGCAGGAGGGGGGCGGCGGTGGGACATCACAGGAGCAAGAAGTCATGATGATACGTTCCAAGCTTACCAGGTTTCTTATTGTTCTGCGCGGACTCCAGAGACGAGGGTTGCCACATATTTTTTGACATCCTGGAACGTATCCTGAGCAAGTTTCATCATGGCATCGTCCTCTTCCTAGGATCTGCGATTGGAGGGAAGAATTTGATGGAGAGGAAGGGGGTATGGGGGCGATTTGTCGGGTGTCATGGGCGCTTGCTTGTACGGCGAGATGCCCGCTCGTCTTTGGAGTGAGGCGCGCTGTTCCCGAGGACCAGCACCTATTCCCATCCATGTCGAGTGATGTCAAATCTGTACTTGTGTCTCCATCGCCTCCCACCCCTCGCGGTCCGTGTCAGTGGTTTCCGCGGCTCCGAGTGACTGGCGGCTTGCTTTGCCTGTTCCCTACTCACCATTCCTCTTCTTTTCCCATTCGGGCGTGAGTCCCCCCCCTCGTTGCCAGCGACGTCCACTGATTCAGAGTACTGGGTGGCGAAAGTGGCAGAGGATGAAGCAGACCTCGAGCGCGACCCCAACACTGCGTTGTTTTGTGATCTCTGTGGCTCCTGGGTGGAGGAAGTGGCAGAGGTTGTCACAAGCCTCGAGCGCCACCCCAGTGAGCAACCACAGCCCTCAGGGAGGAGGCGCCGTCCTCCCTGTTGTAAGGCTTTGGCAGACGGCTGATGCCAAACAGCTCCCGCCTCGTCCTTCCTCCTACCCCCCCTTCCGAGCGGAGGGCTCCCCTCAACCGCTGGCGCCCGTGCCTCCGATGACTGGATCTGCTCCATGCAGTTCGACCGCGTCACCGCCGTTCTACATGTTCAGCATCTGCGCTACCGCGCCCGCTGACGCACGCCTGACGCCCACCAGTCTGCAGCCACTTCGGTGCTGCAAATTACCTCGGTGTGGTCACGAGATGAGTGGCGGCTTCCTGTGTTCAGCCCTCGCGGCCGGAAGCGCCCACGTGCCAGTTCCATCGTTGTGACGCTCGTAGTTCGCAAGCAGAGCAGCGCACATAGTTCGCAGAAGAGGGCACGTGTGCTTCATACGGGGGGAGGGACACATTATAATCAAATATCACGGATCCCAGCCATTTTGGATCAACCCCCACTATGTAAGTACCAACCCCAGCTGCTTCGAGAGGTTTTTGAGGGCCTCACCGACCTTTCTCGTTGCTGCCGTCGCCGACCCATTCGGCCCCCGCCACGTAGTGCCACCACCCATTGGACGCGCGATATTAGTATATCCACAGTTTCTAACACGACAATTTTCACATGAGCTTATCATGCGAGCACGGACGTTATATAATTGTTACATAAATTGTAGGCAATTCTCCATTGACAACACGACCGTCTCAGTTGGCAGCTGCACAAGTATCATAGCGTCACAGCCCCATTGCGGCAATCAACGCAGCGCTCATGGGAATCACATTACTATACGTGTAGATGTGTACCCTTCCCACCTGTAGTTGTACTCTTCTCACATGGCACCTAACCGCAGTGCTCCTGTGACGCCTGTGTAGTTTCCGCGCGAGGCTGCGATTTTCAAACAGAAACAGCTCCCATGAGACAGATATATTGGTCTCAGGCCTCATATGATAAACACCGAGTTCCCGAATGAAGGGCATAAGTATCGCGTGGGAAACTGTAGACTTCCGTCCCGTGGCAGAATCGTACAACTAATAAAACGATATCCGTGCGGTACCCATACCCAACACATACAGACCTGGTTGCGGAAACTATGCACATCTCATGGGATATCCTGGCAGTTCTAACACGCACACGACCATCAAAAGCATGTACGTTGCAACCCCCACAGAGCAACAATATTGTTCCCATGTGAACAATCTCCAAGCCCCATATGGACGCCGCACGAATTCCAGGAGACATATCTACAGCTTTCAGTTTGAAGCCAGGCACTCCAATGCTGAATTTATCTGAAGTGTAAACTATTTACAATTTCGCGTGGCACCGCTATACCCCTCATGTGGGAATGACCAGGGCAAACCCTCGGCGCGCCATACAGTTCCTACGCGTTTGTGTGTAATGCGTTTTTCGGATGCCACCTCTGCGCTTCTCATCTGCCGATTGTATAGCTGCATCGGGAACAAACCAACTCCAGAATGACGATATTACCATTTTCATTCGAATGCAGCGCGATACAAATATGATACAACGAAGGGGCAGTTCTCACTACGAAACTTTTCAGGTCTCGTGCGAAAGCAACACTCATGCGCAGATTGCGCTGTTCCCGCGCCATGGTGCGGACGCCCGGGGATGTCCCATGTGAGGAGTTTACATGTTGAATGAAAACGGTGTTTCTGCTTCCATATGCCACTGCCACTCTTCATATGTATACCTCGCGCTTCAAGTTTGGATGTGTACTGGTCTCGGTTGCATGCGCACATTTCGCGTGCGAGTCGTATGAGATTTCATCGGGAAGTTGCACAAGGTCCTTATAAACACAATCATGCGACACATCTCTCACGCGATGAATCCAACGCCCCCGCGTGAAACTTCATCGCTGGTGATTTCGAAACCGCGCAACTGCCATGCATATTTCTACATCGACTCAAATGTGTACCATTTCCAACTCTGGCACTCCATAAGATGCTGCCCAGGAACGTACGTGCATGGACAATTTTCGCCTGGATCTCGGATCGCGCTAAAGCGACCCACCATCAATTTTTGCATGCATGGCTTAAGCCGGCGGTCTGCATTTGGCACCGGGCGGATTTTCGGCGGGCGGAGAATTGGCCCAGCCGGTTGGGATTAGCGCCGAAGGCGTGCGATTGGCAGCTCCCTTCCCGCGGCGGGCATTCAGATGGGCCGCGATGGGGCACGGCACAGCGCGCCCCAACCGAAGACTGGCGGGCCCTTCCCAGGACAAGGGCGAGACCAGTGAGATGATGGACCGACGTTGTCCCAGGGTCGGAAGCGAGGCAAGGGCTGCTAAATCCGTGGCTGCTAACATCGACCTCCGGGAAGTTGTCTTCGTCCTTCCGGGAAGAAGCCCGTTGACTGTTTCGCGTGCCTCATTCCAGGAGTTGTTTTTTCTTCCGGGAGGGCCGTTTTAGCAGCCACGGTTTTAGCAGCCCTCGCCCAGCTTTCGACAGGGGGCTGCAGAGGGATGGGCTTGCGCTGGCAGTCCGCGGCCTCGTGCTGGGGAACGGATTTCTCTGCGACCGTCCAGTCGCTCTCGGCTCCTTTGCGCAACGCCGCTGCGGTCTAGTGCATTACTGGCCACTAATGTGAACGAGTCCCCTCGGTCCGGCAGAAGATTGGAGGGCCCTTCGCAGGACAATGACGGCACCCGTGAGAGAATGAGCCGACATTGCTCTGGGGATCCGCGAGCGCGGCAGAGGTGTCTGCGCAGGCAGCCCACAGCCGCGCGCCGGGGAACGGATTTTTCCGCGACCGCCCAGTCGCGGCTCTTGCGCGCGGTGCCGCGCCCGCGATAGCGCCCGCAACCCTTGACATCGAGTCTGGCAGTCTGGAGTCCTCAGTCTTGTTGTCTGGCAATCCAGAGTGCGGGATCCTTTTCCTTCTCCTCCTTTATCGGCTGCTGGGACCTGCCCGGGACCTGCCCGGGACCTGGATTTTGCCGGGACCTTGCCTGGATTTGCAGGGTATTCGTCCGGGGACCCCCAGGGGCGGCCCCGCGCGCGCGAATTAGAACCAGTTGCCGGAGATCTCAGCACGCCCTTGGCCCGTTGGGCCAGCGAATTTCTGTAAACACACCATACCAACGCATGAGGACTTATGCCCCAATTTTGGGGGGACAACGCATGAATGGCCTCTGCCCTAAAATGGGGGTGGGAGGGGCAAATCGTGAAGGGCCAGCGCCCTAGCACCTAGCATGAGTGGAAGCATGGTGCCACGATACATTGACAAAAGGCGTTGAGGCGGAAATGCGTAAACGAAGTGAAACTCATTTGCAATTTGTTTTTTCGCACGACAAGAGATAACTCGTAACATGTTCAAGGTTTTGGAGGGCCCGCCTCCATACAGCCGTATTCGGGCGCTGCTTTTTGGAGGCGTAGACCTCGTGCAAATACCAGAAACAAACGTGACTCTTAAAGCAAGTGTGACAGACCTGGGAAGAGTTGCCTGGCTTCCTAGTATGACGAGCGTTCACATGTTCTTTCGATTCGATTGTTCTCAATTTGGGATTGGGGGGTACCCCGGTTGAAACCGGATGCGCCTGTGTGTCCCTGATGGCGTAATTCTCGAGGATTCGGGGGAGGTGTTGTTTTCGGAAGCCAACAGGCTTCCTTACAGGCGCCGCGTGCGTCTTCCTCCGACTACCCAGCGGGAGCCTTGCGCAAGGAAGAGGGGGCAGACGAGGAGGACGAGGAAGAGGAGGAGGAGGAGGAGGAGGAGGAAGTGCAGGAGGAAGATTTCGAGGAGGAGGAAGAGGAGGAGGAAAAGGATGAGGATGAGGATGAGGAGGAGGTGGAGGAGGAGGAGGAGGAGGAGGAAGAGGAGACGGAGGAGGAGGTGTAGGGGCAGGAAGAGGAGAGGAGGAGGCGAAGGAGGCGAAGGAGAGGTGGGAGAGGGCGGAGGAGGGGCAGGAGGAGGAGGAGGAGGAAGAGGAGGAGGAGGAGGAGGAGGTGGAGGTGCAGGTGGAGGTGGCGGTGGAGGAGGAGGAGGAGGAGGAGGAGGAGGAGGAGGAGGAGGAGGAGGAGGAGGAGAGGTGGAAGAGGAGGAGGAGGAGGAGGAGGAGGAGGAGGAGGAGGAGGAGGAGGAGGAGGAGAGCAGCATCAGCAGCAGCAACAGCAGCAGCAACAACAGCAGGAGGAAGGTTCTCCCTGCCTTGCTATGCGCGTGTCTTTTCAGCGTCTCGGCCCTGGCTCCGCTCTCTGCTACCGCGGCGCCTGCTACCAAGGGCAACGAAGGGCTCGGTAGCAAACCATAGGGGCCTTGTATACCCTCTTCAGTCCGACTTTAGCGTGGACTAGCGTCGATGAACGTCTGGGAGTCGATGAGATAGCGCCGATGTTGCGTCGGTTAGCGTCGATTCGCAGGAGCCGACAAGATGGCGATGGTATGGAAGGCTCCCATGAGTTGCCACCGAAGATGGGGGTGAGGGATAAGCTTGGGAGGGCCTTCGACCACCGATCGCCCATATCTCGCCGATCGAGGCCTGGGTGCACCAACCCGCGCAGAACATGCGGCTTCGCCATCGGGGGCCTCTCGCCGAACACTGCTTCGCCCCCTGAGCCAGTCCCTCGAACGTTACCCCTCATGCTCACGGAATAGGAAGGGCACGAATTGTAGGACTCTGAAGTCTAAAGGCTCGAGGGGCTGTTCTTTTCGGGGGTCTGTCTCCGCACCAGCAGCCACGTGCTGGCAAGCTTGTGTCGGGTGGGCGTACCGCCAGATTCGGGCATCCCTTTCCGCGCCAGGCCAGGCAGATGTTCAGGCAGTTCTTCGGGCGGGAGCCCGACGGGGACGTGAAGATCGTGAAGGACAGGTTCGGCAGGATGACTTTTCAGGAGATGGGCGAGCCAGGCTTCAGCGGTTTTCGCTCACATGTACCTGCATTTACACGTCTGCATGTGCTCTCGCGTACCCAAGCCCAGGCGCGCACACAAGCATACGCACATCCTGACATGCGTGCGCACAGACGCACGTGTATGTACACACGTACACGCACATATCAGCACATACGCACGTCCAGCTCAGCTAGAATCGTGCCTTCGCCCTCGTGGATGGATGGCACGAGGGGACCGCGACCTAACGGAGGGGCTAGCGGAACTGGCGAAGTTCGGGTCCGATTCGATTCTGAGTCGAGCTCCAGCCTCAGCGTCGAACTAGTTCCAGTCCCACCCAATACTTCCAGGTCACCTGCGGGGGAGCGAAGGTAATTGCGCTTCGCGCGTCGCTGTTTGGGCCATCGCGTTTGCCCTGCTCCAAGAGATCGGCTCCAGGGCGCGAGGGCGCTAAGATCATTGCGTGTCGCGCAACGCGGAGCGCGATGCGCGAAGTTTGGTGACCAGCCCACGGGGCCACGCCCAGGCCGTCCCCAGTCCGGCCGCCGAACGGAGCGCGATTGGGCGGCCCAATCCGCGGCCGAGCCAGGAGGGGCACGTGCGGGGATCGGACGAGGAACGGCGCAAGGCCACAGGGCAGCCCGCGGCCTCGCCAGAGTACGCGGGCCGCCACCGTGCAGCGGTGTCTGTGTGCGGCCGTTGCGTCTGGAGCGCAACACTGTGTGCCGTGGCCTGGTCCACGGACGAGGCGTCTGCCACAGCTTTGCGAAGCATTTCTTGTTCTGAGCGTGCCTCACCCTGCCTCCTTCTTCGCGGCAGCTCTCTTGCTTCTCCCGCCGCAGAGGTGCACAGTCTGCTAGTCTGCTGCCCGTTCGGACCCGAACGCGCTGTGACCCTCATCGCTGCGACAGAAGCGCGCCACAGCATTAGTTGCGGACGACAACAGGCACTGGGCGATCTTTGCAAATGAGGGATCCCTCGCATCAGCACCGTCAGACCAATCCCCATTCCCAGTGGGCCAGAGCTCCTTGGCGCCATCAGCCTACTTCCTCGAGACGGGGATCATGCGTGCATCTGTTCCCGCCCAGGGGAGTAGGTCGGACGGCGGGGCCCAGCCTTTCCAAGTGGGGATGGGGATGTGTCGAACGTGGTCTGGCGATGCTGATATCCCCGCTCGTTCCCCCAAGCCTGCATCCTCTGACCAGCCTGACGACCTTGGCGCGGCCCGTCAAGCCCCGCCCATCGTCGTTCGAAGAACCCCTGGCGCCGGCGCACTCAGGAACGCACGGCCTGCCATTCCCGCGCCCTCTCCTCCCTGCCCCTGCCTCTGCCTCTCCCCCGCCCCTCGCCCCCCTCTTTTCCCGCTCCCTCTCCCCCCGCCTGCCTCCCCCCCTGTCCCTCCCTCCCCCGCCCCCCCCCCTCCTCTGCGAGAGAGTCCACGGCAGAGGCCGCTGCCCCCTCCGCCAGGTCCCAAGGAGGACATCTTCGGCGACACGAACGTCACGGAGCTCACCGACGACGTCGGCGCGGGGGCGGTAAGAAGACTCCAAAGTGTAATGCAAAGTTGTGATAACAAAAGTCGGCTCAAGTGCGATGAAACATTGGAGTGTAGCACACAGCTCGGCGCAAGAGTGATTCACACATTCTGGCACACTTGATCCTGATCTTGGCTGGCGGCCACCCGAGCACCAGGTCACCAGTGGGGGCGCGACGACGCAGCGTTTCCAGCTTTGCTGCCTTGGCAGCCCTGGAGGGTCGTCCTCATCTCGGGGGGAAAGGGGCGCGGGAGTGCGAACGATGGCCTTGCTTCGCCCAGCGCGGAGCTCAAATTCAGGCTACCCCGTTTCACTGACTGGGGAGGGGAGTCGGGGGGGAGGGGTTGGGGGGCAAGGGGGGGCAGGGGGCAAGGTGTTCCTTTGCCTTTGCAGTGCTACACTTCCAAACGGACCTTTACGTGGTTCGGTTACGTGGTGGTTCAAATTTTGGCTACCGGGTTCCACTGACTGGGGAGGGGAGTCGGGGGGGGAGGGGTGGGGGGGGCCAGGGGGGCAGGTGGCAAGTTGTTCTTTTGTCTTTGCAGTGCTACACTTCCACTTTTGTGGTTCGGGTGCAGTGAGCACGGGTGATATTCACTTTTGCTCGAGGGAGTTCTTGCTTTCCGAGCATGCTTCGCCGTGTTTGTCTCCTATCCCCTCTCTCTCTACATATGTATCGCGGCTTCTTCTTGCATCTGACAATTTGATGTTTTCAAACGGCTCGTGGTGTGACATTGCATTGATATCTCCAGTCATGGACAAGGTATATCGTCTGTTATTGGGTTTGTGCTTTGCGGCAGAGTTCACCATCGGTGTACATAGCCTACGACTGGACGTCGTAGGCTAGTGGCGGGTACATTGCAGAAGTGCTGTGCGTTTTCTCTCTCCGCTCTTTCTCGTTCTCCGCCTCGTCTTTTCCCCCTTCCCCTCTCCGAGGTGGTCTTGTTTTACCGTTTCTCAGATCGGGGGATTGGATCACAGATCCAGCTTATGCGTGAGATGTGTGTTTGGGGCTGAAGTCCTTGCACAACAGTCTGGTCTTCGAATGCGGTCTGATGCTCCTTCTAGCCCTGCGTCGCGCCAGCGTCGCAGCCTTGCAGAGCGGTTGTTTCAATACCGGCTCTGGCGCAGTGCACTGTTTGATTTGGCGCTTGTTTCAACACCCCTCCTTGCCCGCATTCTCGTTGTCCCTTCTCTTCCTCCTTCCCCTTCCCTCTCTTCCTTCCCCGCTCTTAAAGGCAGCTTGGAGGCGTTGGGGCCTCGTGGGGGCCTCTGAAGGCCCTCTGAGGTTCAGTTGAGAGCCCGTCAAGGTTGTCGGGGTCGTCTCGAGCACCAGGGAGCCTTGCCCTCTTTGCGTGCAGTGTCGGTTGCCCTGGACTGAGATCCTGGGGCCCCGAGGCGAGGTCCTGGCGCCGCCCGTGCAGGCGGCTCGAAGCCTTCGGAGTGGCTAGCCGTGCGTGCCGCGGTGGTGTAGAAATTCATCTGGTCATCAGTCGCTCCCTCTGAGAAATCATGTTGTTCTACCGAGCTCTCCCGAAGAGGCTCGTTTGAACCATATTCGGGACATCGATCCGGTTGTCAGGACTGTCTTGGAGCCCTCTTCGGACGGTTTTGGGTTGCTTTGCATGTTATTCTGAAAGGCGTCGGGCCGTTTTGGGGTTCTCTTGGGCCTTTCATAGCCCGTCCTGGTTTGCCTTGGAGGCTTCTTGAGGCTACCTGAAGCCTTCACGAGGCAATATGAGGCTGAAAAGTTTTGGATGCGAGCTATGTTGATGTCTCTGCAGGCTGCGCAATGCTGTTTGATCTCTTGTGGTCTGGCCAGAGGCCTCTTTAGGCTTGTTTGGGCGCTTCCTGTGATCTCTCAGGGCATCGTGGGAGCACATGAGTCTCGAAGGGTCATTGTGCCATTTGGAGCGGGTCGTCTGGACATCTTGCAGCCGATTTGAATCGGTCCTGGGCTGTAGTCTGGCCGTCTAGAGGTCGGACACGGCGACGGAGAGCAAGACGAGGTGAACGAATTTCCAGAGGCGCACAAGACGCGTGGTGGGTAAGACGTGGTCCTAGAAAAGCGCAGCAACCCTACCGTACAGCCAACACTGATTCTAACAGTACACAGTTATCTTGCAATAGTGGTGACGGACGAATAATTCAATGCGATGGCGCGCTGGAACTAATTGCACATTAGCCTGGCGGAGGACCCAACCATATGCAGTTATGAGCACCGTCGTTGCATTCGGAGGAGCTCCCTTCAGGACCACGAAACGTTTAAGGGGTTTGCCCAAATTCGTTCGGTGGGCGCATGCGACAGCAGTCACTGCGGCCGACGGCGGAATTACTTATGGTGCCACGAAGCGCGTGAGAGGTGTGCCCAAATAGATGCGGTGGACGCATGCGAAGCAGCCATTGGGGCCGTCGGTGGATCTCCGTATGGTGCCGCGAAACGTGTGATAGGTATGCCGAAATGGGTGCGGTGGGCGCATGAACGCAGCCACTGGCGCCTTCGGTGGAGCTCCCTGTGGGGCCACGAAGCGTGTGAGGGGTTTGCCGAAATGGGTGTGCGTGACGCATGCGGGCGGTGGCACTGGGGCCTTTGGTGGATCTCCCTATGGGGCCACGAAATGTGTGAGGGGTGTGCCGAGATGGGTGTGCGTGACGCATGCGGGCGGTGGCACTGGGGCCTTCGGTGGAGCTCCCTACGGGGCCAAGGAACGTGCGAGGGGTATGCGGGCGGTGGCACTGGGGTCTCATTTGGAGCTCGAGATGGGGCCACGCAACGTGTGAGTGTTGTGCCTGAGTGGGTGTGCATAACGCATGCGGGCGGTGGCACTGCGGCGTGCCTAAGTGTTGTGCCTAAGTGGGTGGGCGGTGGCATTGGGGGCCTTCGGTGTAGCTCCCTATGGGGTCACGAAGCGTGTGAATGCGGGCGGTGGCATTGGGCTTCAGTGGAGCTCCCTATCCGGCCACGAAACGTGTGAGGGGTGTGCCGAAATGGGTGTTCGTGGCGCATGCGGGCGGTGGCACTGTGGCCTTCGGTGGAGCTCCCTGTGGGGCCACGAAAGGTGCGGGGGGTGCCGAAATGGGTGTGCGTGGCGCATGCGGGCGGGGGCACCAGGGCCTTCGGTGGCGCCCCCTATGGGGCCACGAAACGTGTGAGGGGTGTGCCGAAATGGTTGTGCGTGACGCATGCGGGCGGCGGCACTGGGGCCTTCGTTGTAGCTCCCTATGAGGCCACGAAACGTATGAGGGGTGTGCCGTAATAGGTGTGCGTGACGTATGTTGGCAGTGGCACTGGGACCTTCGGTGGAGCTTCCTATGGGGCCACGAAGCGTGTGAGGGGTCTGCCTAAGTGGGTGTGCGTGATGCATGCGGGCGGTGGCATTGGGGCCTTCGGTGGAGCTCCCTATGGGGCCACGAAAGGTGTGAGGGGTGTGCCGAAATGGGTGTGCGTGATGCATGCGGGCGGTGGCACTGGGGTCTTCGTTGGAGCTCCCTGTGGGGCCACGAAACGTGTGAGGGGTCTGCCTAAGTGGGTGTGCGTGACGTATGCTGGCGGTGGCACTGGGACCTTCGGTGGAGGTTCCTATGGGGCCACGGAACGTGTGAGGGGTTTGCCGAAATGGGTGTGCGTGACGCATGCGGGCGGCGGCATTGGGGCCTTCGGTGGAGCTCCCAATGGGGCCACGAAACGTGTGAGGGGTGTGCCGAGATGGGTGTGCTTGACGCATGCGGGCGGCGGCACTGGGGCCTTCGGTGGAGCTTCCTATGGGGCCAGGAAGCGTGTGAGGGGTGTGCCGAAATGGGTGTGCGTGACGCATGCGGGCGGTGGCACTGGGACCTTCGGTGGCGCCCCCTATCGGGCCACGAAACGCGTGAGGGGTGTGCCGAAATGGGTGTGCGTGACGCATGCGGGCGGTGGCTTTATGGACTGCGGTGGAGCTCCCAATGGGGCCACGAAACGTGAGAGGTGTGCCTGGTGTGCGTGACGCATGCGGGCGGTGGCAGTGGAGCTCCTTATGGGACCACGAAACAAACGTGTGAGGGCTGTGCCGAAATGGATGTGGGTGACGACGCATGCGGGCGGTGGGGGGGGGCGAGGAGGAAGGATGGAAAGCGGGGACCGTCTCTTCAAAGCGAGGACCCAACACCACAGGATGTTTGGGAGAAACCGTATTAGCCTGCGGTTGCGTTTTCCCCAGCCTTGTGGAGGACGATCAAGGGAGAGGAAACATGTTGCCAAACCATTTCCAGATGTCCAACACATGCGCTAACCATGTTTAATACATGGTTAACACAACATGTGTAACATATGATTAAACTATGTAAAACAACATGTTCAACACATGTTTAGAACTTGTTTCCAACATTTTAAACACATTTTAAATTCAACGATAGGACTGTTAGGGTGTCCATTGTCGTGGCATCCACAACCCCAGCCCGGCCTCGTTGTTCTCCGTGTGGGGCTTGTGCATTTTGTTGTCACTCTTCCTACATCTGTCGACCCTTTGCCAATCGTTCCGTTTCGTCTTTGTCCTCTTTTCCCCCTGGTTGGGCAGGAAATGGGGAGGCACATACCAGGATTGGGAGGTGGAGGCTTGGGAGGAGGCCTCAGAGGAAGAGGATGACGGAAGAGAGAGGATGAGAAAGGATGAGAGAAGGGGCAGGGGGGATGAGGGAAGAGGATGGAGAGGGGGGCAAAAACAGATAAACAGTAAACGTAAAAGTCCAGGAGAGGGAGGGAAGGAGGCAGAAGGGGTTGGAATGGCAGGGTCACTGCGCACTTGCGCTTACACATCACGGGCTCGGGACCCACCCCGCGCTTGCCAGCCCCTTATTGCCTCTGCTTGCGCCAGTGGGCCCGTGTTTGAAGTGCGCGACCTGCCTGAGTTGCGTGGCAGTTTCGTCCATGAGCGCTATTTGGCGCCATGCACTCGCCTTGGTGCCCTGCCCTGCATTCGCTGTAATTCCCTCTGCAGGTCTACAGTAGTTTTGTGAACGAGCGCACCGAGCCGGTGATCGTTATGTTTTACAAGGACGCTGAATATTTGACTCAGAGTGTGGTCGTGGAAGGGCCTCTATTATGCAATGCCGCTTTTGTGGAATTTGTCTCGAGCGATAAGGAGGGGGAAGACGCGAAGAGGAGAAGAATGAGCATCAGCAGAGCAGGTCCGACTCGTTGGCCCCCTCCGCTTAATGCAGGAAGCGTTCCTGGCTCTGCGCCTGCTATCCTTCCTCTCCTCCTATTCCTTCCCTGTTCGCTGCCACGCCTCTCCACGGCAGCGGCCATCATATCGTGTGGACGTGCGCTCTTGGGCGTTCGGGTGGTGGTGTCGAAGCGCACGCTCCTCCACTGCAGGGTGCAGTCGTGCTTGCTCTCCTTGTCATCTTTCGCATTCCTGCGTGAACATGCATGTGTTTTGGAACTTGTCATTTCATTCCTCCCTGCTTGCCCATCGCATATCGAAGCACTGCGTCTTAGAATGGTGCCCCAGCCCAGGCTTGCTGGGCTCCGGCCCGCACTTGGTAGGACCGTCGTCCAGCTCTCTGCCATTGCATGCTCCGCTTGCCTACAGTATTTGAGCCCTTCAAGTGAGATGACGCGGAGCTCCAGGAGTGGCACATACAGGAAACGGAAGGAGGAGGATGACGTTGAGGAGGAGGAGGAGAAGGACAAGGATGAGGAAGATTAGGAGGAGAGGGAAGAATTGGGGGGTGGAGGCCAGATGGGGGAAAAATTAATCGCGCAGTCCGAGGGGGGTTGTGGAGGCAAGGTGGGGAGCGGAGGCAACGTGGGGAGCCCCCGCAGCAACCTCTGTCGGCCCGGCCCCCGTCGCCCACACCCAGCTGGCAGGGGTGCTCTTCGGGTGTTTTCTGGACGCCCGAAATGGGTACGGAAAGAATGGGTACAATGCCCAACAGCAGTTCTTGTTCGTTTTGAACAGGATTCGCTGTCCACGCCGCCGCGGCCCGTGTCCATTCGAGACAGAAGGCCGCCTGCCCAACAGCGGCCGCTGTTGGTTTGGGACAACATTTGTTGTTGGGCATTGTGCCAAATTTTTCCGTACCCATTTCGGGCGTCCAAATGTTTGGACGCGCCCTTGAGTCTACCCCGTGCGTCCCCAACCAGCATGCGGCGAACGAGAATTTGGGGCCATCTGCAATGGGGAGGAGCATGAGGAGCAGGAGGACCAGTGCAAACCCAAGACTCCTCACCGATGATGCAATAGACAATCGGCCCAAGTTCCGTCTCCACAAGCTCTTTGATAAGGATCTATCTTCATTGCGGCAAGAACCCTGATGGAAGGCAACCGTCTGATCATCTTCAACCGTGCCAGAGCGACGTTCCTGGGACTTCAACGCCTTGAATCAACGTTACTCTTGCGACCTGTCGATCCCAAATCGGGCCAGAAAACTACTTCTTCGACGTCAACACTGCGAATCAATCTCACTGTCGCATCCTGGGAATTCTAAGCCGTGCCAGAACACCATAAGAGTCGTGGAAATTGCTGCAAACTGTTACGACGAATGTGCGCGGCGGTCAGGCTAGAGCCACATTTTGAAAGGGAGCCGCCCTCCATCCGTGAAGCGCTGGCGAACTTGTAAGGCGAATGTGCGCGAGGTTCAGGTGATGCCTACATTTTGAAAACGACCCGCTCTTCTTTCGTGAATTGCTTGCAGTTTTCAAGGATCAGGACGACAGATGGTGAGGAAATCTCATGTGAATCGCCCAGCCCGGCCTATCGACCCGCCTCTGGGTGCGACAGCGAGGAGTTTTTTGCGCCGTGTCTAGAGCTCCGAGCACTTTATTTCGGCATTGCTCCGATGCCGCCCCTTCCTCCTCCCTAGGCGTATCATTTCGGAACGGCACCGGTCCGCCTTCGGTACCCCCGCGCAGCCAGCCCACTTCCACCTCCCCCGCCAGCCAGTGCGCCCCTTCCGCCCCGACCTCTTTTATTTCGGCAGAGCACCGGCGCCGCGCCCGCCCCGTTTCCCCCTTCCGCAGCGAGTCCGTTCTCTTTTGCCCCACCAGCCAGCACGGCCCCCCGCCCCGACCACTTTCTTTCAGCACGGCACCGGCGCCACGTCCACCTGCTTTCCCCCACAGCCACCCCACGTCTTCTTCCCCCCCAACAGCCAGCGCGCCTGCTCCCCCGACCATTTTATTGCGACACGGCACCAGCGCTGCGTCCGCCCAATTTTCTTCCCCCACAGCCAGCCCAGCTTCTCGTTGCCAGCCAGCCAGCACGCTCTTTCCACCCGGCCTCTATTTCGGCACGGCACAGGTTCCGCGCTCGCCGCCCTTCTCCGCAACCAGCCAACGCGTCCCCTGAGCCGCAAGCGCGCCCTCTCCGCTCCGACCCGTTTTGCGGCAAGGCACCCGTTCCCGCCTCACCCCCCCTCTGAAGCAGCCGGCCCACCTTCCCCCCCCCGCCAGCCAGAACGCCCCAACACGGCACTGGCGCCGCGCCCGCCAGCCTCCCTATCTCCGCTGCCAGCCCACTTTCCCCCGCCAGCAAGCGTGCCCCCTCCAGCCCCAATCCTTTCAATTCGGCACGTCACCAGCGCCGCGCCCGCCACCCCTCCGTAGCCAGCCCGCTTCCTCCCCCACCAGCCATCGCGCCCCCTCCGCCCCGACCGTTTTCTGTCGACATGCCACCAGCGCCGCGCCCGCCCCCCCCCCCCACCCCCCCCCCGTAGCCAGCTCACAGTTCCCCCGCCAGCCACAACGTCCCAGCACGGCATTGGCGCCGCGCCCCGCCCACCCCCCATCTCCGCAGCCAGCCCACCTCCTTCCCCTACCAGCCAGCGCGCCTCCTCCAGCCCAATTCCTTCATCCGGCACGGCATCAGCGCCGTGCCCGCCCCCCCCCCCCCGCAGCCAGCTCGGTTCTTCCCCCACCAGCCAGCGCGCCCCCTCCGCCCAACCATTTTCTTTCGGCACGGCACCAGCGCCGCGCCCGATCCCCCCCTCCGCAGCCAGCTTGCTGGCCCGTCCACCAGCCAGCGCGCCCCTTTCGCCCCGACCGCTTTCTTTTGGCTCTGCACTGGCGCCGCGCCTGGTTCACCCCACGGCCAGCCCACCTCATCGGCACGGCTTCAGTGCTTCCACAGTTAAACCAGTTCTTCGTGCCCGCCAGCCAGCACGCTCTTTCCGCCTGGCCTTCGCTTCGGCACGGCACAGGCTCCGCGCCCGCCCCCTCCTCCACAACCAGCCAACGAGTCCTCTTTGCCCCAGTTTTTACTTCGGCACGGCACCGATCCCCTTTCCGCCCTCTACCGCAGCCGCCGGCGCGCCGTTTCCGCTCCGACCCCTCTCCTGCGTCAAGGCACCGGTTCCAGCAACCAGCTGACTTCCCCTCGCCCCGCCACCCAGAAGGCCCCAGTACGGCACTGGCGCCGCGCCTGCGCACCTCCCCATGTCCGCAGCCCACCCACCTCCTCTCCACCATCCAACGCGCCCCCTCCGCCCCATTTCGGCACGGCGCCAGCGCCGTTCCTGCCCCCCCCGCCCCCAGCAGCCAACCCGTTTCCTCCCTCGCCAGCCAGCGCGCCCTTCCACCCCGACCACCTTCTTTCGACACGGCACTAGCGCCGCGCCCCCCCCCCGACAGCCACCCCACGTCTTCTTCCCCCGCCAGCCAGACGGCGCCCCGTCCCCCCCGACACCATTGCCGCGCCCGACAAATTCCCCCCTTCCACAGCCAGCTTAACTCCTTGCCCATCAGCCAGCGCGCTCTTTCCGCCCGGACCCTAACTTCAGCACGGCACCGACTCCGCGCCCGCCCTCCGATCCCCGTCGGCAGCCAGCCCACCTCTTCCTCCTGCGCCAGCCAACGCGCCCCCTCCGCCCCGACCACTTGCAGCATTTTGGCACAGCACCGGCTCCGCGTTCGCCCCCGCCCTCCCCCATCTCCGCAGACAGTCGCCCTCCCCCGCCTCCGCAGCCAGATTCGTGCTTCCTCGCCATCCACCGTGCGCTCCCACCCTTCACATGTCAGTACGGCGCCAGCATCGTTTTTCCACTGCCAGCCCAGTTTTTCTTCGCCCCCAGCCAGCGGGCCCTGCACCCCGACCCTCGCTACTACAGCACAGCAGCGGCACCGCGCCTCCCCCCCCCGTACGCCCCACGGCCAGCTCAGTTCGTCCCCGCCTGCCAGCCAGCGCAATCTTTCCGCCCCGACCCTTGTTAATATGTCCGTCGCGCCATTTGGGCCGCGCCGTCGCCCCCCCCCCACAGCCAGCTAAGCTCCCCATCGTAAACTCCGAGAGTGTTGAACGTCCACCACTGGCTAGGCTTTCGCACAAGAGCGTCGCTCACTGGCATCTCCGCGAGCGGAGCTGTCTTGCAGGTAGCATGGACCCCCTCCTGGCTGAAAGTCCAAGCTTGCATTCCCCCTGGCCTGCGGGCAGCAGTCCCTGACACAGACCGAGGGGCCAGTTCACGGGAGTCACGTCGGCATCGCCCATATTCCAGATTTTGTAATAAAAGGGGGGGGGCCTGGACCCTCCAAGACAAACCATTTCAGACCTCCCCCGTGGGAGAACCCTCCAAAACATCGTCCCCAGACCCCCCAGGCCCTCCAAGATAGCCTGGAAGAGACCCCCCCGAAATGAGACCCCCCTCCTTTTATTACGAAATCTGGAGTACGTTTTTGTATGCTATGGCTGTGTGCGTTTGTACCGCAGGGCCTACATTTTGAAAACGACCCGCTCTTATTCCGAGAACTCCTTGCAATTTTCAAGGATCAGGACGACAGATGGTGAGGAAATCTCATGTGAATCGCCCGGCCCGGCCTATCGACCCGCCTCTGGGTGCGACAGCGAGGAGTTTTTTGCGCCGTGTCTAGAGCTCCGAGCACTTTATTTCGGCATTGCTCCGATGCCGCCCCTTCCTCCTCCCTAGGCATATCATTTCGGAACGGCGCCGGTCCGCCTTCGGTACCCCCGCGCAGCCAGCCCATTTCCACCTCCCCCGCCAGCCAGTGCGCCCCTTCCGCCCCGACCTCTTTTTTTTTTCGGCAGAGCACCGGCGCCGCGCC